TGGAGCAGGGGATGCGCGACCAGGTACTGTTAATAATGGGGCATGGAATGCACGACAAGGTCGTGGAGGCATCTGGAATCCGTGGGACGACCCACGCTGACGTGAGTGGCAGTAGCTCCCTAAGAGGCCAAGACTGGTAAAGCCCAAACTGGTGCAATCCATGGGGAAGGATTGCAATCCTGCGGGCAGGACTCACGTTGGAAAAGTTTGGGGACTTTTTTCTTCGTGAGTAGGGGATCCACCAAAGCAAGGGAAAAAATGGTGTAAAGGCTCCTCCTCCTTTAAGAAAGGAGCGGCAGTTAACAACACGGATGAACTGACCTGCACTCCCCATTCCCTGTCCCCCTGCGCCGCCGGGGGGAGGTTGAGCCAGGAACGAAAGGAAACGGGGTGGGGAGGTGTTGTTTTAAGATCTGGCCTTGTTTTCTCTTTTCTCCTCTCAAGCAACTGGTTTCATTCCCTTGTGTCTCCTGTTTAGTAACTGTTAATAAATTGTTTTGTTTTATGAAGAAAGCCTGAGTCATGTTTTGCCCGGGACCATGTTTGGTGGGTGCTTCCTCTCGGTTCTTGTCTCGACCCTCAGTCCAAAAACCACGACAGAGGTCTTGGTAGTAAAAAATTCATTCTTTTGTCATAAATGTACTCATTATTAGTAGTATTAATTATTAGTAGTAAGTTATGCCTTCTTACATGAATTTCTAAAATAATATTGAAAATATCCTTTAATTAGAGATGTTCTATTACATTCCAGAGCCTACAGTAAAGAATATGATAGTTAATTAAATCACATATGTTTATTTCAACATCGAGGCTATAACTCTGCTTCATGTTTGTGACCTTGTTGGAAAAAAAGATTTGCTTGTGCCAGCAGAACCTTTTTAATTTTCATATGCTCTGTCTCAAGAGAAAATTGATGATATGTAGCAGCTCTCACTGAATGAATAATCTAGGGTGGTAACCACTATGGTCCTAGAGTTTAGATATGTAAAAGTACTGGGGAATTGGTCACTGAATTTAGACTTCAAGAAGATTGGTGTCCTTCTGCAAAGTCAAATAAAACTGGCATTAAATTGTGATGCTGGGCAAACTTGCACTATGTGTTGTTTTATGTTTTCTTGACAGTCCTTTATGAAATTCTCAATAACTAATTATCCTAAGTGCTTCTGGTTGTTGCATCTGGTATTTAAAACAGAAGCTATGCCAGTAACTGCAAGTTGTGGAATGAGTGATTTCAGTGGGGCTAACTGCATAATTTAACAAATCCCACTTTCTAACATCCCAACAGCACATATGAGGGACCTGAAGTGCAAATGTTAGTGTTACTACAAACACATAAGCAACACTGTCTGCAAAAAAATCTTTTTTTTTTCTGTATCAATCATTAAGAACAGTTAATGCTTATCTAGTTCGTGTACTGGACAAAAGCGGATTTGGGAGCTCAGCACATTTTTGCTCATCAACTCTATACAAGCTAGATAAATAAAAAACAAAGCTAGCATGCAAATGATTACCTCCTTAGAGCTGAGGGTCTCATTTTCTGGAATAGGCACTATGGGATGACTGGGCTGCCGAGCCAAGATACCACAGGTTGGAGAGTACATGAGGTTCAAAACAGGAAAAAGAAATCCATTATCAGTTAATTTCTATACAAAATATCACTAAAGTTTAACAGTGAAAGCCAATACCCTCAGTCATGCAAAGCATAGCAAGGTAATAAGATTGCACTTGTGTTGAACAAGTTCTCTGCTGAACAGGCTCCCTCTTACTCTATTTCAAGGCATGGCCTGTTTTCTGTTATGTCATATTCCCATAATGAAAAGTGTGAGGAAGGGGTAGATCACTTTCCCATTTGAAAGAGGCATCTCAAGTAAAAATCAGAGCAAGGACACCTACCTTACAATACGTTTAGTATGAGATAATGCACATAAAGTTATTTGAAACTGCAATTGTATATTTCTGTCACTTTGAGTATCTGTCTTCTTAAATCTCCTTCAAAAGAGCTCTTTTTAATTTTAAATTTCATAGACATAAATCACACAACAATGATTAACTAAAAAATGGTGTATGACAGTAATCAGTATGTGCAGAAAGGAGTTTTAGACCTCAGTAATTTTCCAGTGTTTTGAGTATTATATGACTTGGTGTCTCAATAATGACATTAGATGGATGTGACTCAAGTGAAGAACCATACTAATTTCAATAAGATTTTAATTACAACACAGGTAAATAGATAAGCCTGAGCTTATAAGGCAATGTTAAGATTGTAAGCTTGTGACGTTTTCCTATGCAGTGACACAGAGACAACCTCTTTAGAGCAAAGGTTGCTGAAAGTGTTGGGTTTTGGATAGTTTAGAATTGTAAGGAAACAATGATGGAAGAAGTCTGCTATTTTCAATGTATGAAAGGCATTACTTTGTTTTGATATTTAAAAGAAATAGTAAATTAACAAATGATGGGTTGCTTAAAAAGAAATATTGGTCTTGCCCTAAAAGAATTAATTTTGAAACTCTACTTTTGGAGATGCAAAATTGATTTGTTAAATGGGCCTTATAAACACAGAAGGGTACTGAAGTGGAATATATTCTAATTTTCTGCAATTATTTTATAGATCTGCTATATATTGCTCTCTCCCTCTGTAAACTTGCCCTAATTCATTTTCAGGGAAGCAAGAATCATCTTTAGCAACAAAAACAGCAGTTATAGAAGCTTTGAACCATTTTGTTTGTAGAGGTTTTTTCCAAAAATGAAAAGGGAAGTGCAGAACTTTAGGCAGTAAGTTTATTTATTCAGTAAATTTGCACAAGGGAGTAATTTTAGGCAAAAGAAGGGTAAGGAAGGGGTAAGGAGTTCAGATCCACTCAGGAGCAACATCCCTCCCTCTGCTGCACACCTGGCTCTCTATTTCAGACAGCGCAGCCACCTAGGCAGCCCCCAAACCTTGCACCACTCCACGACTGCAGCAGAGCTCTTCACAACAGACGCAGGAGGTGTTTAATGGCCTACACAGGAGATGATAGATAGAAGTCCTGTTTCTAAAGCCTGCATCCTGCAGCTACCAAGGGTGGGCAACCTGTTGAAGTGTATCCAGAGGAGGGCCATGAAGACAATCCAAGGGCTGGAGCGCCTCTCCAATGAAGACAGGCTGAGAGAGTTGGGGTTGTTCAGCCTGGAGAGGAGAAGGCTCTGGGAAGACCTTCTAGCAGCCCTCCAGTACCTGAAGGGGACCTACAAGAAAGCTGGAGAAGGGCTTTTTACAAGAGCATGTAGTGATCGGACAAGGGGAAAAGGCTTTGAACTGAAAGAGGTAGATTTAGTTTGGGTATAAGGAAGAAATTCTTCAGGATGAGGGTGGTGAGGCAGTGGAACAAGTTGCCCAGAGAAGCTGTGGACGCCCCATCCCTGGAAGTGTTCAAGGCCAGGCTGGATGAGGCTTTGAGCCACCTGGTGTAGTGGAGGGTTTCCCTGCCCATGGCAGGGGATTCGGAACTAGATGATCTTTAATGTCCCTTCCAACCCAAATCATTCTAGGATTCTAGGATTCTATGATCCTTGGTAATACACAGGTACAAATTTCTAGCAACATCTGCAGTATCTTGTAAACTTATTTCATTGAAATGAACCCTAGAGTTGAGTTACCTATTACTTCACCAGCGTATGGCATCTCTGTATTCCAGGCAAAGTAAGAAGGGTCAATCACAAAGAGAAGAGGGAAAGTATTTACAAAGAGAAGAGGGAAAGTATTGATAGGTTTCTGTTTACTTTCTGATGTGCTACTAAGCTCTCTGAGAAGAATTGTCCATTGCTTGCAAGAAGAAAAGCTCCCTAGTCAGGCAGTGATCTGAGAAAGCAACAGCTCTTTTTCTCAAATTGCACAGAGAGCCCATCAATGACAAATGCACTTCTATTGTGCTATCTTGTCCTGGCTTTTCTTACTGGTATTCATTGCATACCGTGTTAACCTGAAATGCCTCTCTGAGTCATGAGTCTGCCTTACCTTGTTCCTTCAGTATGAGGTCTCAAGTCCCTCCTTAGAGCTGACAAAGTAATGATCCTTTTTTATCCAAGAAATACATTTGCTTCCTTTATTTTGACAGCATTTTCTTTTCAAACTAAAGAGCAAACATATATAACAGTCTCCATGGAGAGTGAAAATTATCTGTATTTTCTGGACAGACACTCTTAACATTGATTATTTTGGAGAGGCTTAATTGAAAGAAGACAAGTGAGAGGCAAACAAGGACTTCACTGATTAATAAGGGCGAAAAAAGTTAATATAGTCTTAAGACTTGGAGAAAAACTGAGCAATGTACAATGGTCTCTATTTTCACAAGGGTTCTCTGACATAAACCCCCTGAAGTTATGATAGAAGAGTCTATACACTCTACTAGTCAGGTGTCTGAAGACATGATTTTGCCATGACATGCCATCTAGTCTTAAAGAAGTCACATGTGGCTACATTTATAAAGAACTTTAAGTAATACTTTAGTGAATATGGAGCATGTAAGGCAAGTGCTGCATACTTCCTGCTGAAATAATGCTTAGTCTTGCAGGTCCCTGAAAGGAGGGTGTTGGATTTTTCCCTGGAATTGTACAGCTCTGCCTATGCTAGCTGCAAAGCAGGTGACTGCCTTGGCCAGGGTGACTTCATCCTAACAAACTGGAGTCCTGCTTCCTGTGTTGTTTCCATCAAGTGTCAATATAATCTGAAATGTGTCAGCAAGGCTGTGGAAAAGGTCTCGTACCTGTCCTCCCAGAGTTTAAACAAGAGGCTGCAGAGTCTTTTTCTTTCCTCCCTGATTTTTCCTCACAAATATGATTTTTGTGTTCTTGAATGCACACCATGCCAGTTCCACAAGCAGGATGGAACTTACTGTCCTAATGCTCTTGCTTTCTGCAGCTTCATGGGTAATGACTGCACTCTTTTGGAAGAGAGAGAAGTTTGAATCTCTGCAGGGTGAGATGAGCACTGTAATCAGGTCTCCCACTGTCTGAGCAAGTACTAAAGAAGGGCATTGGCATCTTCGTGTTATCTTCTCTGTATGGTGGTCAGCCCACGGTGTTCATAGGACACTTAACAGGAGAGAGAGTCTACCTGATTAAACTCAGCCTTGTACCTGAAGCATACAGCCCTAAGCACAGTGGAAAGACCCTCAGAGTACGGTCATCTCTCTGCAAAGACGAGCTGTCAACATCAGAGTACCAGACAGTCAACTTAAAAGTACCAGAATGCAAAGCAGGCAGAATGAGGTGGGATTAACCCTTCCTTACTAGACGTTGTGTGACTATCATCCCTTAGAGTCATATAGGAATGTGCCCATGTCCACAAGATCTGAATGTGAATGCAACTTGAACTATGTACTTTTTATGGGTGTGTTGTCTTAGTGAGACCTCATCAAGTTCTGTCACCGGCAGTCTTTCATCTCCAGGTCAAAGCAGCTGGCAAGAAGCCCTATTTTCTTCTACAAATGTAGAACGATTGTGTTTGTTGATAGTGGAAGATGAAAATACGGCTTTTATAATTTTTATTCATGTTTCTTTTGTCAGCTACAAAATTCCACATTACTCTTACAAGGTTAATTAATAATTTTTAACTTTTCCAGATGTCACTCAGTTTTCTGGTAATGTGACATTTTCTTTATTATTTCTAAGAACAGTGAAAGAGCAAAATTGTCAAAGCTGCATTTGTGACTGCAAAAATTGTACTGAGGAGAGCAGAATATCCTGACAATATATAAGTATTTGCAGCATGTAAGTTCAAAGGGAAGTTATATACCTGGCCAAAATAACTTCATACAGACTCAATCAAGACTTAGAAAACACATAGTTATGTAACATCTTAGTTAGACCTTTGTTCATTTAGCTCTGTACAGTAATCAGCAAGACATATTTGCCTTTAAAAGGTCAGTTTTTCTTCATTGTGCTATGAATCACAGCTGCCTCTGAACTAATGTAAAGCTTTCTGAGGTGTTCTCAATGTGAGACCTTTTTCATAAATCTAAGTCACTCTCTAGAGGGTCTGCAACCTTTGTTAAATGAGACACAAGCTTAAAACACTTTTGAACCAGTGAGAGATGATGTACATAAGAAATAAGAATGTTTCAACTACAGTAACTAGAGAACATTCATGTATATGCTATGCTTTCAAATTACTCCCTTAAGTCTTTAATTCACTTTGAAAATAAATTAGGTACTCTAGATTCTTTTGAAACATAAAGGGATTCCTTCACAATATTCTCAGAGACTAAAAATGTTGATTTATACACGCATAACAAGAAAACTTTTTTAATAAAACAATTTTATAGATAAACACTTTCTGAGTACAATAAGAAATCTAGAGTACCAATAAACGGTAAAACATCCACAGCAGCAGAGCAATGACTACCTTCAACTAAGGGGGGAGAAAATATAAAATGTAAAGGGACAATTTATAACTATGATGTCAATAGTCTCTCTGAAATAACACAGTATAAAATCAATTTCAAAGATTCAGTCAGTTAAGCACCCGATTCTTTTGTACCTTTCACCTCTCTACAAAAGAAAATGTAAAGTAGAAATTGTGATCACA